ATAAAGTTTCATGGTGACTATGGTTTGTTAGTATTTGATTTCTAAAATCTTGATTACCAATTTGTATGGGGGTTGGGGGCATGGCCTCCCCTGGCCCCCAAAAGGCTCCACGACTGGTGATGTCAACACCCCTCCTTTCAACCACAGAATTCAAGCTTTTAGCGCTTTGATAGGTGCTTAAACTTATGTGTTCCATTATTTGTTACATACCGAGTATTGTGATGTTGTTTTTTATTTTTTCCACTTCTCAGTTTTGGTTGTCATAGAGTTTGTTCCGTATGGTAATAAAGCGAGAATTCACTTATATATGTATATATATATATATACATACATATATATATATATATATATATATATATATATATATATATATATATATATAAAGAGAGAAAGACAGAGAGAGAGAGACAGGAATCATCATTTGAGAACTCATAGTTTCCCGAGAACTAAAGGTGAAACGTTAGATCAAAAAAACAGATGACCAAGATCACTTGTGGCATTTTGTAAAAAAAAACTTATAGGAGTGGGGCTATCTTAACTTAAAAGGGAAAGGGTATTATAGTAAACAAAAATGTCGCTCTATCTCGATGAAAACTACCCTAAATATATGTATTGTACGTATCGTCTTCCTCGCGTCCAACCGCCTCCATCTCCTCTGATCGACACCACTCCCCCTGTACATTCCAAACCAGAAGATGATTATAGGTTCACCGTCTTCAAAACTAATCTCCGCCTCACAAAGCGTCACCAGAAGCTTGATCCGTCGGCGGTCCATGGCGTCACTCGATTCTCCGACGTGACTCCATCAGAATTCCGTAAGCATCTCGGACTGAGATCTCGATCTCGTCTTAGGTTTCCTGTAGATGCTAGCGAGGCTCCGATCTATAGATATAATCAAATAGTGGAGTGGTGATATCCAAACACACTTGCAGTATTGCATGTTCAACCACCATCGCAACCCCGCTCCTCTGCTCACCGGCTCGTTGCTGATGCATTTTTGGGTAGATACCGGACGAATTACATTCCTTCTCTCCTCTATACACTGGTTAATCATCTTCTCTCATATTTTATTGAACAAATTTGTTTTCATTTTTTATTTACTTTCGAACTATTTTTTTCCAGATCCTGTACAATTATAGCAATAATTAGTAAATCCATCAATTTAAATCATTTATGGGATGATTTACAGGCACTAAGGTTACTCACTGTTTCAGCTTTGATTCCTTTTCCCGACTGTGAAACCATAAATGGTTCCACTTCTACATGTTCTCCTTCTTAATTCCAAGTCATTATGTTCTTTGTTTTACTGTACCTTCGTCAATATCCATGGAAGAAGAAGCTTATGGAAGTGGAACCTTACCTCATCAAGGTTCTCAACAATTCCAATTTCTAAACAAATCCAATAGGAAATTTCTAAACAAATCATTGGTAAATACACTTATGTTTCAGCAACCATACCATTGTATGCCACCTTCCAGTTGCTTGTTCCTACAAAATGATATGTTTATTGGAATGGAATCTATCTTGGCGATCTGGTTTCGTATTTGTAAACATAAATATGAATAATGAATGACTTCTTTGTTTATACTTTTATCTATTTAGAATAATAATTTAATTGACTATTTTTTACGATCCTTTTAAATAGTTAAAGTTACAGGTTTAAGTGTGAAATCATTCAGAGAGAATTGGAGTTCTAGTAATCAAACAACAAACAATGTTGACATACCTGATCCTACTGTAGAAATACATTGGCATTTCAAGTAAGTTTTGGAAACAATGTCTTTTATTCTACTATTTGATACTTGATACTTATTATATTCCATTCAACTTTCAAATTAACTATACAAGGTATTTTTGTTAGATGAGAGTAGTAGTGGACGACTTTCTACTAAAAGTCAAATTACAGTGAGTCATGTTGTAATCTCTTGGCTTCTAATATCTTATTTAAAATTGGTTTATAATTTTGAAAGTAGATTTGAATCTTCGATCTCTATTTTCTTTCTTAATACAACTCATGGGCAATTTTCTTTTTTACTTAATAGGCTTAATGAGTTAAACACTTAAATCTAGACAACTATGGTTGTTTCTTTTTTACTTATCTAAATTTATAAAAAGTTCAACATTGTAATCACATATGATTCACATGTAATTCACATATGAATTACATGTGATTCACATGTAAATCACATGAATTACATGTGATTCACATGTAAATCACATGTAATTCATATGAATGTAAATCACATGTAATTCACATATGAATTACATGTGATTCACATGTAAATCACATGTAATTCCCATATGAATTACATCTGATTCACAAGTAAATCACATATAAATTACATGTGATTCATATGTGAATCACATGTAATTCACATATGAATCACATGTAATTCACATATGAATTACATGTGATTCACATATGAATTACATGTGATTCACATGTAAATCACATATAAAATTTAATGTAATTCACATGTAAGTCACATATGAATCACATGTAATTCACATATGAATTACATGTGATTCACATGTAAGTCACATGTAATTCACATATGAATTACATGTGATTCACATGTAATTCACATATGAATCGCATGTAATTCACATATGAATTACATGTGATTTACATGTAAATCACATGTAATTCACATATGAATTATATATAATCACATGTAAATCACATATGAATTACATCTGATTCATATGTAAATTACATGTGATTCACATGTAAATCACAGATGAATTAAATGTGGTTCACATCTAAATCACATATGTATTTTTGTGAGTGTTTTTGCATCAATCATTTTTTTTCTTGTTGATTTGGAAGAAATTGTGGTGAATATTGAAGAGGTGAAAAATGATAAATTGAAGAAAATATGGAAATATTGACATGAAGAAATGAAAACGCTTTGCAATTTTGTAGCATTTTTTTTTGTTAAAAAATTATAGAATTTTTTTAATATTCCAGTTTTTTTTTTTAATTTTATTGATTTATAAATGCTTTTAAAAAAAATTGTAGTTTTTTTAAAAAAATATATATTTTTTTCAATTTTTTTTCATAAATTCATGTTTTCTATAAAAAATTAAAAAATCTGCATTTTAAAAAAAAAATTGAAACGTACTATTTTTTAAAAAATCGGAAATTTTGATTTATTATATAATTTTTTAGACATTTCTATTAATACTTCCAATAACACAAAAAATTAAAAATTAAATTAGATTTGTAAGATTACGATCATGTCCTTAATAAATTAGTTTTGATCTCATGCTCCACTTTTAGTTCTCGGGTTTCCGAAACTGTGAGTTCTCAACCGATCACACACACACGCACTCACACACACACACACACATATATAGATATATATATATATATATATATATATATATATATATATATATATATATATATATATATATCCCTATTCTAATAAATGAATAGTTTTAATATACTTTACCAAGTGTCACTATAATATAATCATCATTAATATTATGCCATGTGTCATATAGATATATCAGACAACTCATTTTAAAATTCAAATTTATATTTTCTAATTATATGTTAAATTTGAAGTTATAATAACTTTAAAATTTTGATATATCTCTTAATTAATAATTTATTTAAAATGACTTATTTCAAATAACTAATTAATAATTATAAATTTTTATTATAAAAATTTAATTAATTTTATAACCGTATTTCCAAAAATTGGTTATAAACATATATATATATATATATATATATATATATATATATATATATATATATATATATATATATATATATATATATAGGTTCAGAATCATTTGAGACCATGCTAATTTTGTGAGACCAAATCTAAAAATAATTTTAAAATGCAAAATAAAAGGAAAAATCTAAGAATTATTTTTTTAATTATTATTTTCGGAACTTTAATTACCTATAATAAAAGAAAAACTAAAAAAAATTACCATTTTTTTTGAAAAATACGTCAAATATTCTAATAGAATATATTACACTATAGATATTCTAATGTGATTTTTAGAATGTTGAAATATTGTATTAGATTTGTCAGATAAGTAGAATATTCTAATATTATAGCAGAATATGTAAAAAAATGTATTGTTTATTTATTTATTTTTTGTTTATTTTTTGTATTTTTTTATTTTTTTTTGGAAAATATAAATTCCGAAAATAATGATTGTAAATTTTTTTTTTCAAAAATTTTCACTTATTTTGCATTTTAAAAATGTTTTTTTTTATCTACTAAATAAGTGGCTAGGATTACGTCTTACGGTTTAATAAAATTAGGTCGTCTCACATTACTTTATATATATATATATATATATATATATATATATATTAAAACTATTCGGGATTTTACTTTTTGGTTGTTCCTTAGATGAATTGCGCTAAGAGAAACTGCGAATAATTTTAGAGGATTGTTTTTTAAAGAATATTATGAAATGATTGCACTTTGGCTTTGCCGACAATTTTGCCGACAATTGATTTCTTATCTCTAGTGAAAGAACAAATACATCCAACACAATAGATTTTCATTTTTACATCCAACAACATTAATAATTTTCTCTTTCAAAAAAATATTAATAACTTTGAATGATCAGTAGAGAATAGATCCAGTTCATTAGAGACTATGAAGGAGGGACCAAATACGAAAAATGACCAAACGATGGGTATAAAGTTAATTTTGCTAAGGGTTTAACAATGAAATAAGACGGTAGGAGACGGAGTGACCATTCCCGAAACAAAATCCAAAGTCAGGGACCATATAATATTAAAAGTTGACCGCGAAGGCACATATCTGACAACACACATGTTGCATGTACCATTTATGTAAGTTACTCTATTTTTAATACGTATGCAACTCCTGATGTAATTTTACAATGTGAAAATATAATTCTTGACATATATTCCCGCCATTTATTCTTGAAATTAAAAACATACACATCCTTTTCCACAAGTATGGCCATATATATGATGCCAAACCAAAACTCAAAAACTAAGCCGGTGTATTTGATTGCAACTTTGTAAACTCCCTCTCAACAGCTTTTTTCAAGAAACTATCTTCATCTAGAATCATCTGAACAGGCAAAAAACCAAGATCATTAGCCATATCAAGCATCATTCTTTTAGTCTCAGCTTTGAACTCCTCCAAGTCTACAGTTCCATTTGAATCACGATCAAACTGCACAAATAGAGAGTCATAGACATGAGACAACTCTTCTGGATCAGTCTTCACATCAACCCCGAAATGGGTTTCAATCATCCTTAGACATTGTAGCTCTTTTAGCATCTCTGAATAGGAGAGCAAACCATCATGGTTGGTATCCAAGTTAGCAAATCGATCTTGAATTGAACCATTGAATGCTTCATCATCTTCCACAAAGCCAACAATGATGGCACCATCTAATAACTCAACGCTCATTTTTGTATCTTTGTTAAGTTTGTTTATGAGGTTTTGATTTTTTGTTAACAGAGAAAGGGCATATGCTTATTTATAATGTCATGATGGTGGTATGATTATTATATGCGTTAGAACAACGCTTTGGGCAATGGTCTTTTTAGGCTTTTGTGGTTTTTGACTATTGGATTTGTGGTTGATGGGTTCTTAATGACCCACCTCACGTTTCTCCCTTTCAACAAATATATAAAAATAAAATATCGAACATTGTATTATTCATTAAAATATAAATGCAATGTTGCAACAAAGTCAATAAAAAAAGGATTTCATGTCTAACATTTTTAGATGTAACTATTTTTTTTATGTCCGGGCATAGAAAAAATCAAGGGATTGTTATTGTTGATAAAAAGGTTATCTACTTTAGTAAAACTAAGAAAATGTATTCCAATTCGTCACAATTTGCCCTATTAACATAAAATTAAAGAATTAAAATCAAGAGTAAATTACATGAATGGTCCCTATGATTTAGGGTAATTTACACGTTTGGTCCCTAACTTTTTTTAATTCGGAAGTTCCATACTATTTGTTTTTGTTATGCGCTTGGTCTCTGGCTTATCCAAAAAGACTATTTTGCCATTGATTTTTTAATTTATTTAAATAAAGACACCCCGAACCCACCCCTTTACCTTACTTTACCTACCCACCATTTTTCTCTACTTAAATAATAGTTTTTTAGGTAAGACAGAGACCAAACGCGTAACAAAAACAAACAGTAAGGACCAAGCGTGTAACAAAAACAAATAGTAGGGACCTTCCGAATTAAAAAAATAAGTTAGGGACCAAGCGCGCATTAAACGAAGTCATTCCAATTCTTGGGTAAATATTTACCCAAATTTGGTTTCTGAACTCCTTACCATCTAACCCTAATTTTCGTCTCCTCCTACTGTCGGCCTCCTTATTGTCGACTTCTTTCCTCTCGGCTTCTCTCTCTTGCTTGCTTTTTGCTTGATCGTTTCTCATGGCTAGTGATGATAACACCAACCCATCCACCAAAAACCTTAAACCCTACATGAACACCAACATCAAGGCATTCGTTTTACTTGTGCATGATCTCTCTCATGTCAATTTTGATGCTTGGCGTGTTCTTTTCTCTACCCACTAGAAAGCTTACATGTTAAATAACATTTTATCATAAAATAATATCACTTGGAGTTTGAGAAATAAATATTTAGAAGACAACATAAGATGTTTAGAAACGACTATTCATTAAAGCTTTTTAAAATGGTAAAAATCGAGTTTTTATTAAAAATAGTTTTTATTGTAAAACTTTTAATAGCCAACTTTAAAATATTTAAAATAGTTTAAAAAGTGTTTAAACTTAATTTAAACTCCATGTCTTTCATAGTAAATAATTGTTTTATTAAAAAGACTAAAAATCGGTTTATATCGTTATAATGTCAAATCATAATAGTAGTTATTATTTTTTACGTTGAAACCTAATATATGATATTAGTTTTTTAAACTTAACGCAATATGTTGATATTATGTTTTATGCATGCCAAATGAGATTTAAACCATAATTATTATCACCTTAATTTTGGTTTTATCAAAATATGACTTTTTATCATAAGATGTATAAAATGAGTTTATTAAATAAAATAAGTTTTTATTCTACAAAGTCATTAAGTCAATATGTTTTGATTATTAAAAGGAGATTTAAAATTGTAATTTTAGAACCCATCCAAAACTCCAAGTATTAAGTATGAAATACAGTTTTATTAAAAGACTGTAACCAGTTCTTAAAGCGCTCTACGACTAAACTCTAAATATAAGATATTCGTTTATAAATTGATCCCGATTATCAATTAATAAAATGAAGTTTGATTTGAACCTAAAGGACCTTATACAAGCGATATTATTGTTTACAAAAGACACATGAATTGTTGGATGCATGTAATATTCATGAGACTGTGTTTTTATAATTATATTTGGAATATATATATATAACATTTTCTTAAGAATGCAAGTCATTGTCGTCCCTTTTGAAGAACACTCGCTTGTCATTTGTACGGTACTAATGGGCGATGAGTCACCTAACCACTTGGATTTTGTCTTATGATGATGAGGTGGTTTTCAGATTTGCTAGTGGGCGATGGGTCACGTTACCACTAGTGGAATGTCGATACCATAAGTTGTTTCAAGAAGGATGACTTGATCGAGAATCTTATGTTATAAAGGTCACCTAAGTATAACATAAATGGGATCAAACATGACAAGTTAAACAATAGTTGTTTAGGATCCCATTATCTAGGAATTACATATTTTATACAATTGGTAATTGTTACCTGCCGAGTTGGATTATGTGGATGGGATAAAGGTCACCTAACCATTTACTTGTTTCGTTACTTGGATCCTAGACTTTAATAAATTAATGTTTTAAAAACAATAAATATGTATTAATTTTAAAGACATAATATTGAAAATACTAAATAAAATTTCGTTAGATTCTGTAAATAACTGTTACTATTTTACATCCCTATAAAATCTCTCTGTTGTTGAGTTTCAAGATATAGTAAATTTGATGATTATAATTTCTATAATTGGTATGAAGCCTTGAGTAATTTCCTCATGGATAAACAAAAAATATATACAATAAAAGATCCCATACTTGAACAACTTCTGCCAACCAGTCAGTCTGGTCATGATGTTTTAACGGAAGCATTATTAAGATGATATTGATGTGTTTCACATTATACTGGAATAATTGCCCTTGACCTGCAGAAGGTCTTGGAGAATTGTGAAGCATATTAGATGTTTCATCGAGTAAAGCAGATATTCATTCTGAACAGTAGAACCTGCTTCAAACTTTTTCAATCATTGGATAAATGGATGGTCTAAGAGATTTTGTACTCTAAAAGACCTATAACCTAGTTAAAGGCAAAACAACATAAACCCAAGAAATCAAGAGAGGGAAAAAATGATCAGTGTTGTTTATATTGGGAAGAAATAGGGCACTGGAAGAGGATCTACTCCTTTATCTTACCAAGCTGATGAAGTCTGGCGTGACCAATACTTCAAGTATCTATATGATATAACTATTTATTTTTTCCATGATTCGCTTGAGTATTTTATACTACATGTGACACTAATACTTTTTATTATGTGTGATTGGAAGAAATAAGAAACTGATTGCAGACGATTAGTATTCCATGCTAGAGATATAACAAGAGTTGTTACGGATGTTGCTGAACTTTTGATAGCCAAATAGTCTATATTTAAACCATCGATATTTTGTACATATTCTTATAGGAACATGTAACATTTGAGTTTTTTTAATAAATTTGGATTTACTTATCATTTAATGGATGTTCACATTCATGTTCTGAGACGAGGTATTATATGTTAAGAATATCTTCTCATAATTTTATTTATGAAGTAAATATATAAGTTTTCATTAAATTATTAGTTCTTAAATTAACACGTATATAATCAAACGATATTTGATTCGGAATTATTTATGTAATTATCATCGTTACTATATAAACCTGAAACACATATACCAACTTCAAAAGATGGAATTTTTTAAGGCAGATGAGCCTGATTCATTTGATATACGTGAATCCAATATATATGAGAAGACAATTCACAAATGTCTTTCTCTACTAGTAGTGATAAAACAAAATGCTTGATAAAGAATTACACATTGTGGTGTACGTAATCTTTTAAATCAATGTATAGATTTGGTAATAGATACTTAATCAATTTCACTAACGATGTAACGCCTGGTTTCTGATACACATTTATTTATAATATATTCATTTTAATAGAGCTACTCGACGAGTTGGGAGCCCCAGACTCGTCGAGTAGAAACGATATTTGGATGCGGGGTTTTACGCTATCTACTCGACGAGTTGAGAGCACTCGACTCGGCGAGTAGGTCTGCCAGAGTGAAACCCTAATTTTGGGGTTTGGCACCCTATTTAAGCATCTTAATCCCCACCTTTTTGCCTCATTTCGAGCCTCCAAGTCCCAAACCCTAATCCACAAAACCCTAGAGCATTGTGTGAGTGTGTGAGCCATTTTTGAGTGATCTTGTATGATTTGAAGCTTGTAGAAGAAGAAGAAGCTAGAGGACTCCAAGAGAAGATTATAGATCGAGAAGAAACATCTCATTCCCTCCACTTTCTGGTAATCAAGTCTCTAACTTGTCTATTAGTTCATTAGATCTCCTTATTTCCACTTTTTGATGGTTTCAGTTCAAGAAGCTTGACCCTTGGGATATGGACGTCCCAAGCAAGGATCCTTTCAGATCTTGGATCATTAAGGGTTGTTAAGGCATAAAGGTGCAAACTTTATGCCATTGAAGCCGATATACAAGCTCAAAGGTGTTGGTATGGCCTTTTATGCCCAAAAGGCCATGCATGGAAGGAAAGTCTGAGACTTTACGTGTTCATTTGGTGTCTAGGACTTAGATCTCGGTTTTTATGCTTTGGGTTAGGGTAATAAAGCTTTTGGAAAAAGATTTATGTCCTAAAAGAACTAGGGTTTTAGCTAAAACCCATTAAGAAGGACTATCAACGGGTAAAGTTGGAAAATTTACCCTTAAAAGGGCATTTCCAGTATGTAGATGAAGTATGAACTTTGGATTTGGAGAGCAGAGGCTTAATCTGTTAAGATGGCCAAACAGACAGAGGAACTCGTCGAGTACATGGAGGAACTCGACAAGTTGGGTCGTGTTGTCTCATTTTAGCTTAAGGTAGAACTCGACGAGTCTGTAAAGGGAATCGATGAGTTGATTCGCCAAATCGCGACTATGAGTAGCCAGGGAACTCGGCGAGTCAGGGGGTAACTCGACGAGTTAGATCGCGATTTCAGGATTCTAGGACTCAGCGAGTTGATGGAGCAACTTGGCGAGTTAGGTCAACCCAGAAGGTTGACTTTGACCAGAATGTTGACTTTGACCAAGGGTAAAATGGTCATTTTACCCTTAGAAGGATTCGCAGTTTTTGACTAAGTGATTATTG